TACCATGGGCTATCCGACTATGGCTCTGGCCGCATGCTTTGGTGGGCCCATGGTCAACATTTTGCTGGGCGTCGGCACAGCAGCCGTCAGCGCCATGTCACATAGGGGCTCGAATGGCGATGCAGTCGAGATACAGATCTCGTCAAAGTCGATCATGGTCAGCACCGCGTGCCTGCTGTTCAACACTCTGGTGTATGTCGTCATCGTGCCGCGCCAGCAGTACCGCATGACTCGTGCAGTTGGCCTGGCAGCAATGGCCGTGTACTTTGTGGGCATGACGGTAAACGTGTACTCCGAGTTGTAAATGCAGTTAATAATATGGCAGTCGTTTGTTGCATGAGAGGTTTTGATACGTGAAGTGTCAGTGGGAAAACATTGGACATGTACTGCCTGGAATATGCGCGGGTTTTCCTGCTGCTCTCTGCCTCTGTTTTCTGCCTCTGTTTTCTGCCTCTGTTTTCTGCCTGGATGCTACTGCTGCGCGGTAGAAGAGCTGGAATTGCCTGTTTGCGTCGATTTTTCTAGGAGCCTAGTACTATTGCCATTCAAACACAGCAGTGTCTCGCTTGTCGCAATGTGGTATAAAATCCATGGTATCTGCACTATCCGTCATCTCAACAGCAACATCATCAACATTTTCTAACAACAGCAACAGCAACAGCAACAGCAACAGCAACAGCAACAGCAACAATGAACACTTTCGCTACGCTTGCTTCTCTTCTCGTCGCCTCATCGGCCGTTGTTTCTGCTACTCCTCAGATGGGCGGTGGCGCTTCTCCCCAGGGCTCCCCCATGGCTGGTCCCCAGGGCTCTCCGATGGCTGGCCCACAGGCCACTGGCGCTGGTCCTGAGGCTGCTGCCATGCATGGCGCTGCTGGCCCCTCGGGCACTCGCGGCAAGGGAATGTGGGCATACCCGTACTATGGTGGCATGTATGGTGGCTACGGCGGTCTGTACGGTGGCTACGGCGGTCTGTACGTGGATACGGCTACCGTACTACGGCGGCTACGGTGGCTATGGCGGCTACGGCTACCCGTACTATGGCGGCTACTGGTAAACTCTCGCAAGAGCCTCTGCCTGTTTTTACAACGTAATATCTCTAGCGTCCTGCGCTGTGCGCCCGACTATTCTCATAAAATGAATCATTTCACAACATTGAAAGATATTGTCGTGTGCGCTCATACACTAGTGCTGGAAGACAAACTCGTCGATAGTCTCGCCAGCAACGTTGCGTGCGACCCAGTGCAGCTGCTTATTCTCGATGTCCAAGCTGACGAAGTGGTGATCAAAGTACGTGACATTGTACATCTGGTAGTCCTCAACCCTTTTCAGATCCAGGCCGCCACCAGCACCACCAACGATGGCATATGTGATTGAATCGTTTGGTGCATACCCAGGGCCCCGATGCACCGTCGACCTCTGGTAGTTGTGCTGGTGGCCAGAGATGACCAGGTGTACACCGTGTTTGCGGAATAGCGGGTCATACTCTGTCCGGATGTGCTCGTCCCAGTGCTTCTCACCCTTGTCGTTCCACGCATATGGATCCAGAACTCGACGTAGGGCGGAACATGGATCGCAATGATCTTGAATTCAGCGCCTTGGAACACCGCTGACTGCAACTCGCGCTTCAAAAACACACTCTGCTCCGGGGACGGGCATTCTGCGTCCAGCACAATGATGCGTGCTGTGCCCACGCTCACGCTGTGGTAGAACTGGTGGTATGTGCCGTTGGCCACCAATGTCTTGCTCAGGTCCTCGGAATCAAACAGCCCATGGTACATGTCTGTGTAATAGTTGTGGTTGTCTGGTCCGCCGGCTTTTGTCGTGGTCGTGGTTGCCTGGCACGAATATTATCGGCGAACGGTGCTGCAGGCCACCGACGTCTTCCAGTGGCGCAAAAAACTGGTTCTGCCAGTCTTCCAGCTTTTCGGGTATCTGGATAACATCGCCTGCATGCAAGGTCATGTCTGGATAGACACCCAGGGCCGTAGAGTTTGCGGACTCTGCCCAGTACACGGCGGAAGTTTGCAGGTTCGTTCTGGTTGTCGGCCATCACCAGGACGCGGTGCAGGCTATGTTTAGCTGGTCTATGGATCCTGTACTGCTGTGTGCCTTGGCGGTAGTTGCTGACCTTGTAGAACACATCCGCGGCATTGCCAACTGGCCCGAAAATCGCTGTGTATCTGTGGTGGTTGGCGTCGATGCGCCTATACCTAGCTCGACAGTTACACGCCTCGAGCCTTAGCATCATCCGCCCACCATTCAACTACCGGATTCCCCGACGGGCATGATGACTCCCAGATAACAAAGTAGTGCGCATCGCCGTGCTCGAATATCATTGGGAGCTTGCGTATTGTGCACGGATAGAACCCATTGTCGGAGAGCCATGTGCCCACTGTCCGCGCGCAATGTCTGCACGCCTGGGCTGCCCAGAATCTTGATTAGAATCCAGAACGCAAGTATCTGGGAGACCACCAGGAGTGCGAGGCGCCGATAGTACAGCCTCATCCTATGAACCTCCTTATTCTGTATTCCTCCTAGGTTTTATATGGCTGATCAAGCTGCGGTATGTGGACCAAAAGCCAGCGATATGAAAGGGAATGAGAGGGCAAAACTAATAATGTAATAAATGATACAAATGAAGCGAGCAAAGCAGAGAGGCCTGTAGTCTAGGACTTTTCTAGGGCAGCAAGTCTGCGAGCTATGTTCCAACCAGCGGTCATAGCAGACGAAGAGATTGACAGCAGCGACTTTTTTGTGTAGACTTTTCTCGGAGGTATGTAAATCCTTGAGGAAATTCCACACATGCCAGCAGGATTGAAGTGCCCCAATGCCAGCCAATGGTACCATTATCCTGATGTGCAAGCAAAGCGCTTTTCATTCTTCGTCCGGCTAGTGCGTAAAGGTCCATGCTATCTGCATTTGGCTGAGCGCACTAGCGTTCTGCACCATAGGCCAAGCCAATTCTGCCCTTCTCTCTCTTTTCAACGACAAGCGGAATCAGTGCCTCCAAACTGTACTACCCTTATACATGTCAATATTCTCAGCAAGAGTTTCAAGGTGAAAAACACTAATTGCTTATTAGCTTTAGTGGTGGCAAGGCAGCCGTCCTGCTCAGGGCTTACACCATGTGCTAGCTGGTTTAAGCTCTACCGTGTATGTTGCTTATATTCCGATGGTATACGGTTTTATTGGTACCTCAACTAGTAAAAATGTAGATGCCAAACTGAACATGACAGTGCAGCGATAAGAGGAATGCAATCTGATGAGCTAGACCTTGACGACACTGCGTCCGAAGCTCTTCCCATTAAACAGGTTCAGAACTGTCTGAGGAGCGCTTTCCAGTCCAACAGTCTCGTCAACGCGATACTGGATCCTGCCTTCTCTGTACAGCACACTGATCTCGTCGACAAACTCGATCTCCACTGGAGTATTGTAATGGTTGTAAACAAGCACAGCTTGTAGAGTGGCAGTTTTAGCCAGGGTATTGCCAATATTCTTCACACCGTACTTTTCCTCAGGCTTGAGGTTCATCTGAGAAAGAACACCGCACGAGATGATGCGCGCACCAGTGTTGATATTGGCAAGAGCAGCGTCCAGGAACTCGCCACCGACGCTGTCAAAGTAGATGTCAATGCCCTTGGGAGCAGCCTCCTTGATCGACATGGCAAAGTTGCGAGAAGTCTTGTAGTTGAAGGCAGCATCGGCACCAATGCTCTTGACAAACTCGACCTTGTCTGAACCAGCAACACCAATAACACGCAGACCCCGGGCCTTGGTGAGCTGAACAACCATCTGGCCAACAGCACCCGAAGCCGAAGAGACCAAGATGGTCTCACCGGCCTTGGGCTTACCAATCGTGTAACGGGTGATGACTAAGGTCATAGACATATGCTGGCCCATGAAAAGTCCCACTAGACACACGAACGCTAACTGGCACCAACCGCACCGAAATGTAAGAGCAGAGCCTCGGCTAAACATTCCCGTCTCGCACACACATTCGCCATTGTCAATCCGTAGAATGAATTGGTATTGTGAAAATGTTCGAAAGTGTAGTAGGAATTTCAGAAAAGTATTTGCGGCATGTGGAAACGCCGCCTGTGTCTATGCGAAGCAGCCAAACACGCAATTTAGCTGCGCTTCTGCAGCTCTTGGCCAATGCACTGGTTGATGAAGTCGCGGCGGGCCTTGGCCTCCTCAGCCTGGATGCCGAAGCGGGACATGATCTGCTCGCGCACCTGCTTCTTGGTGATGGTCATCAGGTCGGCGGTGGCAATGATCTCGGCAACGTACCCCGAGATCTGCTCGTCCGGGATGCCCGACGGCCAACTCTGCTGGGCCAGCGACGATGCGGCAGTCACGCTGGGATCAGATGCTGGGAACATGTTCAGCATGCCAGTCTGGTCCATGTTGGCGCTGACTGGCACCGGCTGCTCCATCATGGTGGCCGGGTGCATCATCGGCTGCTGCATGCCGCCCATCATCATCTGGTTGGGAGCGACGTTTGAGCCGACCGAGTACGCCGACATGCGCGGGTCCTGCTGCACGAACGGGTTGCCGCTGACCTGGCTCAGGCGCGGGTCAACAGCCTGCGGCATAACCATGCTGCCGACGCGGGACTGCGGGCCAACGCTGCCCATCGGCACCATCTCGTAGGCGCTGGATGTCGGCATTATCATCGGCGATGCGCGTCCAGACACCGAGCCCAGGTAGTCGATGCCGTTGCTGGCCATCGGGTTCACAGTCATGTTATTGACGCCCATCGGGTTGTAGCCGTAGCCGCCGTCGTTGTACACCGAGTTGGCATTGTACATGGACTGCGTGTTGGCGTAGCCCAGCATCGACTGGGGAACGTTGCCGATGGCCGAGCCCGAGCGCACGTTGTGTGCAGCGGCCAGCTTCGAGCCAGCGTCAGACATGGCACCGCCATACTGCGACCCACCGTCGTGGTGGCTGGCAGAGTGGGCCTCCCACAGCAGCTCCTGCTCGTAGTCGGACCACTTGCGCTGCGGAATCGTCGTCGTGTCAAACTTCTCGTTGTCCACCGTGTAGATGTGCTTGCGACCGGACTCGCCGACCACGACACGGGTGTTACCCCACGAAAAATCGTCGAAATGCCAGAACGCGTAGATCGGAATGAGGAACGAGAACAGCGGGATGGCAATAATGTACACGATCATCCAGCCGATATGCTGCCACTGGCGCTTCAGGATGAAGATCAGTGCCTGCATACCGTAGATGGCGGCCAGAAGGTACAGCGAAATGTACGAGGTCGTCGAGTCGGGGTTGGTCAGCTGGTAGATCAGGTACGCCAGATACACGAGCGTCGCTGGCATGATAATGGTGGTGATCAGGTCGATGAAGACAACGAAGCGCATCGAGAAGCAGCAGAAACCGCACAGCTGGGGGAGGAAGATAAGCTCAAACAGGTTGTGCACAGTCGAGTTAATCCAGCGACGACGCTGCGACAGCAGAATGCTGAGCTGGTCGGGCGCGTTGGTCATGCACTTGGCATCAGGCACAAACTTGTTTTTGTAGTACGGGAAGTGCTTCAGCACCAGCGTGGTCAGATAGCGATCCTCACCGAGATGCAGCAGGTTCTTCTCGTGCAGCGTCTCGACCCGGTTCGTCGAGTACTCCTCGATGATCTGGTTCGAGATCAGCAGCGGGCGGGCGCTGTCAGCCGTGCGCATGCGGTACATCGAGAAGCATCCAGGCAGACACGACACTGAGCCGAACAGCGACTCGAAGGCCTTGGTCAGATGGTGCGAAATGAAGTACTCGTAGACCTGCATCATGGTGATCCACGAGCTCTTTGCGTTGGCCAGCGTGGTCTCGCCGCAAATGCCGAGAATCTTCTGGTCGTGAGCCATGGCGCCCACAAGACGGTTGAGCGAGTCGGGGAACACCACGGTATCGGCATCAATCATGAGCACGTACTCGTAGAAGGCCGGGTTGACGCCAATGACGTTCTTGACCTGGTGGTACATCTCGAGCTCGAGCGGGACCATGGGCAGATCAAAGAACACCTTGTTGAAGAAGCGCATGAGCATGATCTGCGAGTCGCGCTTACCACGGTTGCCAGGGCGGTTGCGCTCGTTGGGAGTACCGCACTTGACGATGACCAGGTAGGGAACGACGTGGCCAGCAATCTCGTACAGACCCGAGTAGACCTTGGCCATGTTGTGCTCCTTGGATCCCTCGCCCAGGGCAATGTAGCTGAGGGCCTCCGGCTCCTGGTCGCGGTCGACGCCGAGGATATCCAGCACGATGCGCGGAGTCGGGCGGTCGTTGCCGGAGCCCATGATCATACCGTCGCACACGATGAACAGCAGCTTGCGCTTGTCGTCGTACTTGAGGCGGGCCAGCGAATCAATGGTGTTCTTCAGCGAGTCTTCGCCCTCCGTGTAGCAGGGAACGTTGCACACGATAAAGTTGTCTCCGGGCTCGGGCTCGCGGCGGCTGCCAAACTGCAGCGCAGCGATGAACTTCACAAAAATGAGCAGAACCAGAGCGATCGAACCAGCCAAGAGCAGGTAGTTGGCGGCATAGCAGCGTGCAGACTTGCGCAAATCGACATCGCCAATGTAGAAGGCACCGCGCAGGCACCGCTTGTGGAGAGCCTTGCCATCGGGCTTGTCAGCAAAGTGGGCATCCCACTGCTCCGTGATGTCCTGGCCTCTGTTCTGATCGAACATGGTAAATATCTCATCGTCCAGGAACAGCTTTTTAGCTATCGTGTTCGTCGAGTTTGGCTGACCGACGGGCACAACCATATAGGACGCACCCTGCGACTTGATGTAGTCAGACAAATCAAACACCTGCTGGTGGATGATGCAGCGGTAAATGTCGCTATGGTCCCGGGCCTCCTTCAACAGCACCTTAGGATCGAACGCGACATGGCCCTTGTGGTATTTTTCACGCATCAGCCGCATCAGCCGCATCTGGTAGTAGTTGTAACCCTTGTCGGTCGGATGGCGCCACCAGCGGTGGTCATGGAAGTATGTGGGGGTGTACAGCTTGGGTCGGTAAGTCATGGACAGGCGCGGATCCAGGTCCGGGAACGGGCACACAAACGAGAGCTGCTGCGGGAACAACGCAGTCTGGTCCCGGCCCAGGAAGTTGCCCTTCTTCAGGTAGTCGACGTTGATGTTAAAGTGGTTGAGGTTCTTGACGTCAAAGACCTCGCCGCGAATCGCAATCAGCGCATCGTTGGTCTCCTGGTGCTCGGTCAGCTCCGAGAGCGAGTACACGTGCTGCTTCGGGCACAGAATGAGCCCCAGGCCGACGATCCAGAACACGACAAAGATACAGCTCCAGAAGATGATCAGACATAGGGTGAGTTTCTCGCGCCACGCCAGCCGCTGGTCACGGCGCTTAATGCGTCCGCAGCACTTTAGCAGCGGGGACGGAACCCAGAACGTGTTTGCCCACACGCAGCACAGCCAGTACTTGCGCGCGCGCGTCTTTGGGTGCTCGGGCTCGTCCTCATCGTCCTCATTGACGGCTCCCGACACGCCCTGCTTCAGCGAGGCAGCGCGGCTAACCGACCCGGGGGTGGTGGTATCGTAGCCAGGCGCAAACTCGCGCTCGCTCATGATCTCCGAGCCGTTGACGCCCATGTCCTGGTAGCCGTCGTCGTC